TTGAGCTATCACAACTAAAGATATTAGCTGTCCCTATTTTACCAAGTTTTAGCTACAGCAGCTAAATGTTTTTTTCCGTGTGCAAAGCAGTTTTTTCCGCTGAACGCGGGCAGTGTTTACGCGACACGTGAAACATGTTCGTGATATATCTCTCGGCAAATAATTGACGACGATAAAATAAGTTGGATAAACGATAATAAGACATTTACGAAGTATTTATATCCCAGTACTATCTTTTAAGGTCTCCAAATGTGTACAATCGCATTTTATTCTGTGTCGCATGTTTCAGCGCATTAGACTGAAGAAAAACGGTTTTGCTGTTTTCTTATGATTATTAAATTTTTTATGATTTTTATAATTATTTTTTATAATTATTTATTCACAAATTCGAGAAATCTGTGTTAACGATCTCTTTCGTTCATGCTAATTTGATTTGTGGTATTATATAGTAATTATCTAATTTACATTAATAATATAAATTTACAGAACTGGAGTACTGTGATCGCTTTTCTCTTTTTAAAAACTGTAATTGCTCTCTTTTACGATAATAATATGGACTTATTGTTTTAAAATACTGTAATTAACTTTTTTCTTCTCAAAGATAATTGCGCTGTAACTTTAACTTCGTTACAAGTAACAAGTTACTTTCTAACCCTGCTGTCTAGCAATATTCGTTTAATATTGTACCGATATTAGACCAATATTTTTATTATATTGTTAAATATTGGCCATTTTCATTTTTGGAACTATTCTACTACACCCATTTTCAAGATTTCAGCGCTTCTAATGAGATAAGAATGGCTTATCTCGGATTATTAGTTTATGAGGCGTTATTGATAAATTCCGAGAAAAGTGATTTTGTCCCAAGATCGAGAGTGTGAATTAATCTTTCGATTGGATAAATCTCTCTCACGTCGTGCATTAAATAGCAACACTAATTTATGTTCACTCAATATTCATTTTTCTAAATATACAATATGTAATTGTACAGTTTCTTGTTGATAATCCCCTCCT